TCCAAATATTTAGAGAACGCCTTTGCGTAGGGCGTCTCGTAAACGTTTCGTTAGCTACCGCGAGGAAACGTCTCTTCCACGTGGCGTTCTCGTATTTCCAATACTCAGCTTTTCATCTCTCCCTCGAAACTGTTTCCCCTCTCGACGTCCACGGTTCGGCAGAATTTATCTCCGACCGTCTGCATTAGAAATTGCATTTAAAAGCAAAAAAAAAAAATAGTACCACGAGAGCATATCAAAGAAATTTGTTGAAAGAAAGTTGATGGTCGAGAAGACGAGCCTCGTCTCGTAGGATAATTCAAGCAAAGTAGTAATTAAATTTATTCAACGTGTGCAGCGAGGATGAAGAAACTAACCGGCGGGAATCTTGAGCGTTTCGGTGGTCGTTTTTCGCCTGGGTACCGGAGGGCCGGAGGTTTAATGGTACTTGGAGCGGCACACGGTAGCCAATGGAAAGAGAGAATTACGGTGGCGATACCGAGGAGAAGTACATGCTCCGCGGTGCGCTTATTACGATTTTTACTGGTCTTTACGATCGCGCAGTCGAACGCGCTATCAAACGCATACCTAACTGTACATCGAATTGGACACACGCGTGCTGCGATAGCGTGACGTGTTATTGAACGCTGGCAGCGTTTCGAGACGGTGCATCCTGCGTGCAGCTGCGGGCCTTGCACGAAATTTATTGTTGTTTTTAATCGATACTCCGACGACCCAATTTCCCCTCTCGCCTCTCTGCGATCTCGTTTCGCGTAAAAATGCGTAACCCGGCCGAAAGAAACTCTTTCGCCCCGACACTGAACATTTCTTCGTCCTCTCGGTCTTCGACTTTTTCCCCCAAATCATCCCTTAGCCTATAATGCTCGATCGCGAGGTCCACTTCTACGACTAAACGGCGTTGCAAAACCAACTTCCGGTGTCTCTGACCTCTTTCCACCTCCGACAGAGGAGCCTAATTTTCGCGTTGGCCAGCGGGGGAGATCGAAAGTGCTCTAGCGTGTACGCACCGCTGGGACAATGGTGTTCCTTCGCGATCGTCGATGTCGGGCTACCGACACAATGCCAACGACCACGAGCCTACGTGTACAGAGCCGTGTAGGTAGTCACTGACATTTGAAAATGTCAGCGGGCCCTCTCGCAATGCGCTGTTTATCATTTGGGTTACCGTCGAGTCGTCCGCGTATCTGTACCAAAGGGAATTCAGATTCGCGAAGCTGGATTAGTCGTGGAAAACGGATCGATCGTGCCTCGCTCAGAAACGGGTCCATCTTTTGAAGCAAACCGAACTCGAAGCAGGGAAAACGAAATCAGGGGGAAGATTTTTTCACGATCGATCCGTCCTGACAGTTTCTAAATGATTGCAGAATTTTGATAGATTTTATGTAAAATTTGAAAGCTGTCATAGGACTTGATGTAGCCCAAACCACCTTCAATCGTGAGACGCAAACTACACAGACGAAGTTTTTTTCGGAAGTTCACGTGTCTCGATTCTTTTAGGGGAATTCTCGACACTTTACGACCTAGAGTAACTTTCTACGCGTGCCTTTTAACTTATTGAGCAATGGAAATGTGAAAACCTTCGGGAGAATTTAACCTTTTCGTTGAACGTGAATGGTTAATCCTGAATAGCTCGATATTTTTCGTGAAATGGACAATTAATAACAATACTCGACTTGTAACCGTTTCGACGAGCAGCAATTCAATTAGGTCGCGTCCTTCGTACTTGAAGTCGCCGACACGGACGAAAAGAAAGCGCTAATTGATCGCGCTTGTGCTACAGAAAATACACAATGGAAGTCCCGTGTAATGCGTTAATGAAAATTGCTATTACTCGCACCGGTGTCCATACCAATATAGCACGAGTGCCGCGATAGCAGTCGGTGAAGTTACAAACACGGGTTAATCGTATGGTTCTCACAGTTTGCCCCTAATAAAAACATAAATAACGCCTTAAACCGAAAGTTGTCGGAGTAGAGAAAGCGCCGTCAGGAATTTCCTTATCGCCTTCCAAAAGCCTCGTCGTTCTGGGTAACGTAACTGGGTATTGAACCTTCGATGCAAAGCTCCAGAAACTGGCGTGGAAGGTCTTGGATTCGCGATCGCGATTATCCGGGATTATACGTCCATTCGTTGGGCCTGATTGATGTAACGACTATAATCGTTGCTCGGATGTCGGCGCTGGCCTCGGTGAGCGTCAGTTTAAATCACCCTACTCTCCCATCGGTCGGGAGTTCTAAATTTACGACTTTCTTCGGCTAACCTGAACTCGAAGCACCGTTCCGATTTGTATTCGCGGCGATATCGAGATTCAAACGCGCGTGTACATCGTTCCGTCGTTATCCTTTTAGTTCGGATCTCGGGGGTCAGCGACGAGGTCCGATGGTCAGCTGTTATCCCCGAATGACACGCTTCGCTGATCCGTTTAAATTAGATTCTTCGCGACGTCTCGGCAATAAATCGTACGATTCTGTAATCACCTGGATTCACAGGGATCCTCGAGCAAGATTAATCGCAAACCAACTATCGATACGAACGATAACAAAAGTTCTGGGACTAGAATTGGATCGTTCGTGAAAATAAAATCTTACGGAGTATTCACCACAGAGTTTCGTAATGTGATATTATAAGTTATGAAGAAATCCTGTTGGCAAATGCTATAATCGTATACAACGTCATTTAGCGACATGTCATATTCGTCTTCTTAAAGTCTTTGACATAGATTCTCTACGCTCATCGTCATATTACTTTTACAGTCTGCCACGTCATCTGCGGATCATGTATTTGAGCGTGTTTCGCAGGATTCTTATTGTCGGTCGTAAGAATGTACAGAGTGCTCCATAAAATGCGGTATCTATAATACTCTGCGTTCCTCGTTCAAAGAACCACGCGTTATGAAACATCCTGTACGTTCGAAAATGTTCGTAGAGAGCGAGTGTTCTCGACGACCCTGATCCTGAAACTTCGCGATCTCGAATCATTTTGCAAGCATCAGACGGCCGCGATTGTTGCTGGTATGAATCGATAAACCGTCAATCCTCGTTAGATAATTCCAATTATTCGGTAGCCGGTATTGGCCGCATGAATTCGCGATCCCTTAATGTCCAAGCGCTTGACCTCACCGATTCCAAGTACCTCTGCGTGCCGTTCGTTGAATCCCGATTGATCTTTGCTCGATCGCGATCCGGGACTGTCAAGATCTTTAATGCCTTTGATTTACACGGAGCAATAAGGCAGCATGACTCGTGCGTCTCTACTATGCACGTATAATCCCGATTACGTAATCGTATTTATCGCGGATAGAACATCAGCGAGATTTATTACCACCTTAATTGAGCAGTTGAATCACGAAGTATGTAACATTGTGCGAACCTTTCTTCTGGCACGTGCAATCTTCGTACCGATCGTGAACATTCTCTTCGTAGGGTGCGTCAAAATTGTATCGATCGACGGAACTTTCTGAAGACCTATGGATGTCTCGTTGTTACGCGGGCGACGTCAAAATAGTGTCAAATTTGATTTAAAACAAATATCTGGTAAAACATCGAGCTACTACTGTTCCCAAAATATGTAAAACCCCGAGTAGAACCGAGTAAGGGACAGAGAGGTATCGAATTTGTACTTCCATTAACCACCGAGCAACAATGTCACCCAGAGTGCATCCACCTATCGAGAAAACAATCATGTTCAACATGGCAGCCGTACGAAATCTCGTCGTAGGCGGGCTCCGTCTGTTGTTTCCTATTTATTTCTATCGTAGCTAGGCTAAACGAGGATCTAAAGCATTCCGTAAAATACCAGAGGCTTACCCGAGTCTCTCGTAGTCCGCGATCCCGAAACGTCAGGATCCGCTGGCAGCGTCGGGACGCGCCGATCAATAGAAGACCAAAAGGCACATGTCCCGGCGGCTTCTCACGCGGCGGTGCTCTCGACGTTGGCGGGCATGTCGTCTACCAACTGCCAAACGATTTTATCGAGAACAACGACCAACTCCGGAAGTCCCGCGGATCACCCAACGACGTCGTTCTCGAATAGATTTTCTATATTGCGTCTACGGTTCCAACTTCGATTGAACCTCGATCCGATCGAGAAAGGGGATCGCGATCGAGTCGAAAATTCTGCCGTTCACTGGTCGGGGATGTTTCCATGAAAGCGAGCGTCGGCGACGACGGACGATCAAACCTGCGACGAGGCACGAGCATCGATCGACATCCTAGAGAACGAGTCGACGGGCGTTCGTGACTTTCGTCGCCGCGACGCTAAAGTGACCGGCGACGACGGCGTCGAGAAACGCGACGGTGGGCACGAGGAACAGCGCGAAAGCCGAGAAAAGTCGGGACACTGGCCTGCCATTGGGTAGACCGACGACCCGGTGCGGCTCTCCCAACGCGGCGACGCACTGCGCCGACGTCGCGACGACGACGACGTCGTCGCCTAGGCGACCACGACCTCTCGCTCTCCGCGGTCTCCTCTTCCTCCTCTCGCGGAGGGTGGATCGATCAATCGAAGCGAGCGCAGCGCTGCGCGAGATATCGAGATGCTCGCGGGGAGGAACAAAGAAACGCTTCCTCTTCTCTTCTCGTTCCTTCCCTTTGTCCTCGCCGGAGGAGTGCTTTTCCATGGACGATGTTAATTAACGCGAACAAATACGTCGCGATTTTCCACTACAGAGTCGGGAAAATTTTATTCGCGATCAACGAATACAATTTTTAGACTCGTTCCAAAACTAAATTCGTTCGCCTGCGTGTCAGGTTAAAACGTTCATTTATAGATTCTAATTTACGGATGTCTTTGCGAACAAATTCTTTCGAAGAGAAATAAAAATATCAAAACTGTACCTTGTAATAAAGTTATCAAATAAAATTGTATATTACCAGACATTAACTTTCATTGGTAGAGCGTGCTTCACTCGTTGCGAAACTGACGATAATCGATCGTCTGTCGTCGATTAATAATCGCGTAATCGTTCTCCATACATCAAGCGAAAAGGTTATAGGAACGAAATGGTGAAAAACGCGATCAAAGTCTACGCCAGATTAATGCCTGAAAAGAACCGGAGAGATGCGATGGTACATAGACGCTCGTTTTTTGATACACATAGGCGTTTAACAACTATTTTGCATCGTTTATGTTTGCGCGAAGGATTACAAAGTGTATCACCGTCCCAAAGAAAACGTCGAGGAGGATGTCCTGCTTGTTCTGGCCCCGACGCAAAAGTCGAAGGACTATCCAGACAATCGTGCCGAATCCTGGAATTTCTCGTGAATTTCTACCTTTCGAGTATTTGTTTTTTTGGAAAACTATATTTTCTCGTTATGATTTACGAAACTTTTAGCTTCTTTCGAATCTTCGAGGAGCCCGCGACGCAGGGGGACGTGTTCGACAACGTGGCACGACCGGTAGTGGAAAGGTAAAAGGAACCGTATCGTTCGTTAATTAATACGAAACATTGCTACTCCCTGATCGTTCATTTGCAGCTCTTCTTCGTTTTCTTAAAGCGCCCTGGACGGCTACAACGGCACCATCTTCGCCTACGGCCAGGTAAACCCGGATACGAAATCAAGTCATAAACACTCCTCGCTCTCAAATAGATTGCAATTCCCTAAAAAGGAAACAAAATCAATTAGTCGCTCGAGGATACGGAGAAGCTAACCCGACCGCTGACATAACGGAGTCCTATAACTAGACAACTTGGAAAAAATCTCTGCACTGTGAGAACTCTGGTCCAGTCTTTTCTCCCATCCTACTCCATTTTCGATCCCACGCCATCGTTTACTTTCCGCACATGCCAGAAAGGAAAGAGTCAGAATCGGGATTAAAAAGAATTAATTGGCAATCGAGGCTCGAAATAGTCCTACAAGGATCTTTTCCAAGTTGTCGAACTATAGTTGCAGACAAAATCTAAATCGAAATTTTATAGAAAGCTAAACTTCCACAAAGCTTCGACAAAAGCAATTCTCGAAGAGCACTGAAACCGTGAATTCCGCAGACAGCCAGCGGAAAGACGTACTCGATAATCGGGAACCAGAGGAACCACGAAGACCGTGGCATCGTACCGAGAAGCCTGCAGTACCTGTTCGACGTTATTCAAAAGGTTGGATTTTCTAGCCGCGGTACAGAGATCCAGAGAGACGCGAAGAACTGTATACGGCCTTAAATCTTCACGCAGCGACCGGAAAACGTGTACTCCGTCGAGGTGGCTTTTATGGAGATTTACAACGAGAACGGCTACGACCTGCTGGATCGAAGGCAACGAGAGTTCGCGGTTACGAGATTGGAAGATTTACCGTAAGTCCGCGTGACGTAAATGGCGGCCCCCTCGAGCGCCGCGGACGCGGATACTCGCGTATTTCGTAAAAAAAAAAAACCAGTAACCCCCTCCCCCGTTTAAGGGAAACTCCTGTTTGGGTTAGATCGAGCCGACCGATCAGCCGTGATTCCGATCGGTTTCAAATATGGAGCAACAGCGTGCGCAAGGTGCAACACCGTCACCTTTATTCCTTCCTCGTTTCTCGCCGCATTCCTTCTGTCGCGGCGAGCCGACAAAACGATCCTATCGAAAACACTCGCTATTAATCGAGTCGTTTGATATACGGCTGATTATCCGTACTAATAGGGAGACAAATCCGCACCGATAGCCATCGATTTAAGGGGCTATTTTAGCCTAGAACCTTCAAAATGTCCGTCTTTATTTATTTTATTTTCTAAAAGCACATTTTTCCCAAATGACAAGACAAAAGAGCTTGATAAACCAGCTTCCTTCGCTTAGTTAGGAGACACTTAGTTTAATTACATTACCTAAGACTCGTCAATCGATTCGAGAAATACCGCAACAGTCACCGCGTTCGAACGCGAATATTTTTCTAAGCGGACGGTAAATTAATCAACAGTTTCCCGGTAACTGTTGACACCGGAAGTCCGATCAATCAGCGACTCACTAGCAATATATGCTTTACGTAATGCACAAACTTTCCGATCGCGCTTGTTACATGCGAGTCCCAAGCGATCGACGTGGCTTTTCCTCTATCGTTCGTCGCTTAGTTCCTCCTATCGAATAAAAAAAAAATCTTTGAACGATCTCTCCGCGCGTTTCAGACGGGTCACCATTCAGGAAGACGAGAACGGCAAGCTGCATTTGAAGAATCTGACCTTCCACAACGTCGGAAGCTTGGAGGATGCGTTCGAACTGTTACTAATGGGCGATCACTATCGGTAAAATAATCTGCTCGTCGTTGCGTAATTATCACTTGAAAATGAAAATTTGTTAAATTTTCACAGAGTTACCACGGAAACTCCGATGAACCCGCATTCCTCGAGATCTCACTGCATCTTTACTATAGTGGTCTCCAAGAAAGAATTCGGCGCTGATCACTACACGCGGGCGAAGGTGCACCTGGTGGACCTAGCAGGGTTCGTACACAGAGAAGATATACGAGTAGACCTTACACTTTATGGACTTTCATGGCCCAATCTGACTACCATACCGACCTGAGGTGCCTAATTTTTTCGACGAAAAAAAATTTTTTCAAATCGATTTGGAAAAATTATTTTCACTTGCGGGGATTAATTACAATAATTTTTGGTCAATATACATACCCTCGAAATCCTACACAGTTTCGAGAAAAAAATTCATTACTGAAAATATAATGTGTGGTCAGAAATGTTTCCCCGAATTTTCATATGTACATGCATTGGATGTAAGGTCTACTGGTACACCTAGTCTGTGGTTCATATTTCGCTCGCCATGTATCGACTGAAGGTACAAGTGCGACGAACTTCTGAAAGGGTTACTCCTAGTGTAATTAAAAGTACCTCCACGTTTACAACTGGGTACACTGAAACGTCAGAAAATAAATATCGTAAGATGAACTAGTTTGAGAAAGCGTAATCGCTAAATCTGACCCTTGAAAAGCACGCTCCTAACTAATGATAACCGGCCATGGAGATCGCCATAGAGCAAGATCTCGATCAGGCGTCGCGTCTCGACGTTCTGCTCGGTGTTTAGAAAATAAAATTGACAAACGTACGCCAGCATCCCGCATCGATTCAACAGACGAACATTACATCACACGTCGACCCACTTTCGTTCGTGGAAATATTTCCCCCGCGTTCTCCTTCGCGTCTTCCATTCTCTAACAAATTTTCTAACGGTACGCGATTTTTCAACGAGTAATTTCTATAGGTCCGAACGGGTCTACAAGAGCTCGATAAGCGGCACCACTCTGACCGAGGCGAAGTACATTAACCTGAGCCTACATTACCTGGAGCAAGTCATAGTGTGTCTGGGTCAGGAGAGCGTGGGTCACATTCCTTACAGGTGCTGAAATGACTGGTCATCGCGTTCGATTTATTCACGCGATCTTTTACTACGACTGTCTAGTCCCGAACAGGGACTAAAAAATTCTAGAATTTTTATTTCTACGAAGTCCACAGCATTCGTACTCGAACGAATCCGCGTTTTCTACGCATTTTTGCATCGAATTAACAGGCCTAAAAGAATGTCGTTGTTTAGTCATTAGAAAGCGGAACACGGTAATTGACAAAAATGTCTAATCTTTATTCGACCGTGGTACTTTCGTTTCCCATCTTTTTATCGATAGTTTTACGCTCTGTTCGCGTTCGCGTTTACAGGAATTCTTGCTTGACGTCGATCTTGAGGGACAGCTTGGGAGGGAACTGCATGACCACCATGCTAGCCACAGTAAGCGTCGTGTGCGCCAACTTGGAGGTACGAGACATAAGTTTCCGTGCTAGGAGTTGCAAAATGATTTCAATTCTATGCGTTTCACGGTCTTTAGGAGACAGTTTCCACCTGCAAATTTGCGCAGAGGGTCGCTCTGATAAGAAATGACGTGAAGCTGGTTGTGGAGACGAGCATGCAAAGCGAAAACGCCTTGCTGAGATTAGAAAATGAGAGACTCAGGCAGGAAATTAGGGCTATGGCAGGACAGATGGTAATTTTGTTCAGTGTCCAAGATACCAAACTCATGAATACCATTTATTTATTTGATCATGCACGCACAGAATTCTCAGGAACTTACAGCAGATGATAAACGAACTCTGGACTCTCGAATCAGAGCTTTCTTAGAATCGGACGCAAAGATTTGCTGGGATTATAATCCTAAGAGAGTGGAGTACTGCTTTGAGAGCTTCAAAAGGACTTTCGAGTTGAGCAGGGACCCAAAGAGTTGCTTGAAGAAACTGGAATATTATAAAGACATGGTCGTTCAGAGGGACAAGGAAATTTGTATCCTACCTGTTACGTTTTATCCTTCTTTTTATTCACATGGTGGCTTCCTGAATTATAAATAGCATTGTTAATCGATCTGCTGAAAAAGGAAAAAGAAAAGAGGCAACACGGTAGAAAACAAGGTTGCTGTAACAAATTTAATATATGTTTTCTTTTATTATTTTTACTTAACTTAATTTCTGTGTTGTTTGATTTTTTAGCAGGATCAGTTGTAAATGTGGAAAATAGCTTAACACCAAACGTGCAGACCAATGAAAGTGGGGAACCATGTAATATCAAGTAGTTTAATAAAAATCCGTCGAAACAATTTCACCATAAATAGTAACAGAATTAATTTTAGCAGCCCTGCTGTCGATCGAAGCGATGGAAAATCGAAATCAATTGGATGCAAGTGTTTCAATGATCAATGAAAATATTATGGAAGATAACACGGTACCCACTGTTGCCAATATACTCGATGAAACAAAAATTTCTACGTTAAATCGCGTTCGTCCGAAAAAATCTAAGCGAAAATCTAAACATTCGAAAACTATGGTTCAAAATCACGTCGAGCATAATCAAAATAAAAGCAACTGCGATGAAATCGATACAAATAATTCTTTTCAACAGTTCTCAACAAATAGATCGTCGGAGTTATTACCTTACAACGTTGTCAATTTAAATTTATGTGATTTGATAGAGAATAAAGTGACCGAAAAAGAAGAAAATCAGCAATCCTTTAGGAAACCTGAAGGAAAGCAATCGAAATGTGGGGAAATTCAAACCTCGACGAAGAAGAATAGAATTAGACAGAAAATTCAGACCAATGTCAAAATTAATGCAGAAAATGACAACAATCTGAGCATTAGAACGAAAATTCCTATCGAAGAAACCGATGACACATTTTACCAACGATTTCTAAGCTTCAATGTGCCTGACAACCCGACAAGATCGTCGAGCAAAGAATTATTTAGAAATGAGAGATTTAAGACAGACTTTGAGGTACAGGATCATGGTTCTTCGATTAATAATTCTTCTAGATTGAATTTAGAGTCCAAAAATTTCGATACGAGGGAACAACAAAATGATAAAATGTACAACGACATACGTGATAATTCGAGTTTTCGAGAACTAGAGAGCAATAGGATTAAAAAGATTGGAAGAAGGACGAGTGTTGATGGCTTAGAGTGTTCAGAAAAATCTTGTATTATTAGTGGAGGAATAGATGTCATGAAAGAGGGCTCGGATCGAAAGAATTACGATAGGAAAAACGAACATTTTGAGAAATCGCTGCCTTTGACAGGTGATCCAGAAATCGACGAAGAAATTATTGCCTTTTACAAGGCGAAACGGTCAGGCGGTATTTATTAATATATCTATAACATTATTAACGAAAACAATAATAGTTACATGCAACGAAACAGTGTTAATTCTCAAAGTAGCTTTAAGAATTCATAAATTAATTACTTCTAAGCAAAAATAAAACATTAATCGCGTGAAATTCTGCTTTCAATTTCTCCTGAGCACGTTATCGGTTCCATGTCTAATTTCTCACCGTACATGTTCGCTTCCAAGATCGTTAATCGAACACCATGGATCACAGCGAGACAGTGTCGCTTCGCCAAATTAGGATACTTCCTAATTCTAAAACTGATTAATTTATCAACATTTATTCTTATACTGTCCCTATACACGAAGCCTTGGATCCCTAAATTAAAAAAAGAAGACATTTCGTTAAATCGTAACGCGCTCGACACTTTTAAAATACTAAAATTATTTCTATACCTTTGTACTCGTAAATACGTAGATTCTTTCTGTTCTCAACGAATACCAACAAAGTCTCGATCGATCCTTCGAAATTCAAAATCGTGAACGACGATGGTCTGTGAGCTCCTATGGTTTGCAGAATCTTTTTCGTGGAATCGTTGTTGCAAATCTATCGAAGCGTACCGGAGGAAATTAGCATTTTCGCAGAAGAAGAACCGATGGGAAAGCAGAAGAAAAAGATGAATATAATTGAAATTATTGTTAAAAAAACTCACGAATGCACGATCCTTGCTAACTTCCTCGTTGTAATACAAAGACATCTGCTTCTCGAACACCCCTGCCTTAAAGTTCAGAGTCTGAACGTTTCCAAAACGTGTTTGAATGCTTGTATCGTTTAAAGTATCCACGTCATAATCGTGAATTTCCCGCCTGCTGTTAAACAGCGTCTGATAATTGTGTAAACTAACTTGCTCCTCTGTCAGAGACTGTTTCCCGTCTTCATCCTTGATCAACGACAGAAAATCGTCCTGGTGCATCTTTCTGCTATTTAACTTCTGACCTAGACTAGCAACGTGCTGGGAAAAAAATAAAAAAAACCGTCAACGAAAACACGAAACAACTTTTACGTTCGACTAGAATGCAAAAGCACACCGTTAACTCGTCGTTTTCGAGTTTCCACAAATTCTCGGAGCTTCTGCCGCAAGACTTCGTCCCGGAAGTGAGAAAATATAAAGCTCCATCGTGGTTATACGTGCTCCAGCGATCGACTACTCCGAAATTAGGCACGTCCGCGACTAACTCGAATTTCGTTCCAGCAATTAAATACATCTGCATCTGGCAGGTGTGGAAGCTTATCAACAGGTAGTCTAAATCGTTCAGCTCGAAATAGTGAAGACTAACGATCCTGCTATCGAACTCGATTATCTCTCTCAGATAGTCGAACGAACTGAACTGGTAAATCTGCTTCTCCGCGTAATGTTTCAACCGACTCAGATCTTCGCATGCACCATTCAAGTTCCCCTGTAGGAATTGTAAATTAATCTTACCATAACCGAAATTAAGAACGTACGATTGCAACGAACAGTGATCGCACGTTTCTTTCCGAAATTACAGCATCCATCTCCAAGTGTCTCTGGTCCAAAGTTTCGGTTAATTGAGTGACATTGATGCCATTCAGAATATCGCTGCCAGACGCCCCGTTTTTGAATTGGACGTTACCAATCACGGTCCATTTTCCAGAGACGATCTGCTGGAAGCCATTGTTAGTCGAAACAGCTACAGCTTGCCATCGATTTGGATCTATGCCGTTAAAGTAGCCCAACACTCGGAGACCCTGATTCATAGTAACTGGCTTTTCGAATACTAGATTGCCTGAAAATGTGGACGTCCCATGTGGCAAACGATCAAATAAACACTTCGACTCGAAAAGTCTTACCGGTGAATTTGCTCTTGGAATTCAATGGAATCATTCTCGTTGGATCGATGCCATTGAGGAGACGCGCGTTGAAATTACGACGCGCGTGAACGTGCCCGTGGAAATTGATGTGTCCCGTTATGTTCTGGTTCCCAATTACCTGGAAAAGACAAAAGTGCCGTTTCCTGGTACCACCGAGTTTCACCAAATGCCACGAGTATTCGTTCGAATCAACCGTACCATGAAAGTCTTCTCTTGAATTTCCTTCAAGCTTTCGTCGTTAATTTTTCCCATAATTTCGATGCTCTCCACGGTGACGTTGCGACATTTAAGAACCTCCACGGGTATAGTTTGATCGGTGTGTAATGGTATCAGCAACCTAGTGTCTAGATCATTAAACTTCGACACCTCGATGTCAGAGTTAAAAGTCACGTTGGAGAACGTAATTGTTTCTACAAACGTGCAGAAAGTTTCTGTAATGCTTCAACACTTTTGACAGAATTACATTGAAACATACTGGGACAAAACGTTGACCTATGGACTATCGTAAATTTGAGAAAAGAAGTCTTGCAACGATTTCCCTGGGGTCATTTTAAAGGCTATACCCTCTACTTTCACATTCCTGAATTTAATTTCCTCCTAGATATTTTTTCCATTAAGCAACGAGCGAGAAAGTGAAGACAATAGTTCAAAGGTTGACGATATTAGAATATTTTAGAAATTAACGAACCCGATTTCCCAACGTCGATTACATTACCTTTGATGTAAGTAGGCCTGTTCAAGTACAAAACGTTTAATTTCAAATCATCTACGTCGACTCCCATGATAGATCTCGCGGCAAAGTCCGTTTTAACCGTAAGCTCCTTCTCGATCGTTATACCATCTTTGAAAACGATTTTTGATTCGACGGAGAGAGGCTTGTCGACGAAGATGGCCTTTTCCTTAAACTTTTTCAGATCTATGTCGTTCAATTTATCCTGCACGAAGAACGGACCGTCGAAGGTGACTCGATTGTCGAATACTTTCGTCCCGGAAATAGTGAGATTGTCTTCGTCCTTTGAAACCGTGGTCTCCAAGAAGCTGTCAAAGTCTATTCCCTGGATTGTTCCGTTCATAACGAGGTTGTCGATGGATACATTTTTGGAGAAACGAACGTTCCCTTGAAATTCGAAGGAATTGTTCCCGAGAGATTTAAATCTGTCCATTAAATCTCGAAATGGAACGTTGCCGATTTTCCCGGTTGCATTGAACTTCTTAAGAACGGTCACGGACCCTTGAAATCGTTATTTATAACACAAGTAAATTTAAAATGTCCACTCAACACGGCTATGATATTCCTTAAAAATGTAATAATTATATACCGTTTACAACGACAGGACCAGTGAGTACCTGGTCCTCGAAAGGATCGAAGATACTGTCAACGAGATGTCCGTTTAACGAGATTGTCTTTAAATCATGACAATAAACAGAATCGAATATCTTGTGTCCAGAAATTTTGATGTCTCTGTCGGATTTTAATATCGTGTCGGATAGATATTCCGAAAAATTATAACCATTCGTAGATCCAAGAATGGTCAACTTCTCGATGGAAACTGATTGTTTGAAGATCATCGTTCCGATTTGATTCGCATCGTACAGGTCTTTCAGGGCTTGTCCGTTGATGGACTTCGCGTCGATCTTTCCTGTTACTCGAAGAGACTCTAAAGTCGCGTTTCCGCTAGACAAGTCTGCCAGCAAAGCGTTTAGGCGATCCATCAACCGACCGATTTCATCCAAAGACATTCCATTGATAAACTTCACATCCAACAGATGTGTTTCCAAATTCTCGACGGTGTATTCCTGTATAATACTTAGAGATTTCAAGCGATTTATGTAATTCTCTGAGGAAACATTGTTTAGGATCCTAGGCGCGATCTCTTCAGCCTCTAATGTTTCCGTCGTCAAGTTCTCGAGACGAATATTCTGAAACGTTTCGTTCAATTTCCGAGCAAATTCCTCTTGCGAAGCCTTACCATTCAGACTATCAAAAGACAAATCGTCCACTATAATCGGATACTTGAACACTATTCTATCCAAGCAGTTGCTGGACGAGTTTGCGTTTTCTTTGAAGAAAGCTTCCAGCTTCTTCGCGGCGCCGAACGTTACGTTCCCGAATGTGACGTTCGATAATATTTTTGTTAAATCTGAAAAACGACGCGAGAATGGCAAACGTTCGTCAAACATTGATTTAGATAATTAAATCGTTACTTGGCAGGTCCTGATCGGTGGTCAAAGTGAGAAACTCGTCGATAAAATGTCCATTGACTTCGCCAGATTCGATTGTCACATTGGATTTTATTCCAACGTTGCCCAGAAATGTTTTGGTTCCTGTGATCCTAACGTTTTCGTCGGTTTTTAATAACAAGTCCTCCAAATTCAACGGCTGTTTGTCTACGATTAATTTCTCGAATCTAATTCTTCCCAAAACGTTCAAGTTCGAGAAGATGGTGTCCGTCGATACTTCAGAAGTTTCGTTCAACAATTCAATCTCGTTCGTGTCTAACCCGACGATCTCGCCGTCTAACTGTAATGATCAATAATTTTCATGAAACGAGAATTCATTTTTCATCGTTTCATGAAATCTGTTGGAAATTATAAAAGCGTACCTGCATGGAACCATCGACTTCCAAATTCTCGAAGGTGATTTCCTCGCTCAGAACGTTATCCTTGTGCAGGAGTATAAAATCGTCAACATCTATGCCATTTATGGTACTCACGACGTTCAAATTATCGACTGTTAGACTATCAAACGATTTCAAACCTGTTACGTTCGCGGGATCTTCGCCAGAGCGTAAAATGTAATCGTCGGGGTATTGGAGATCGTTTAGGATCTCTAAATATACGTCATCCGCGATCAGAGTCTGAAATTATTCGATTTAAATATCAAAACGGATTGTCCTTGTTTAATTCACTGCTAGGAAACAATTTATTTGCATTACCCCTTCAATGACGGTGTTTCCAGGTATAAATGCAGGTTTGTTTTTCCATACAATCTCCCCCATCAATGTTTTCCATTCGACGGAATTGATCGTCTCAAAGGAAAGATGTTCCTCGATGTACGCTCGATTTATCCTCGAGAAATTCACCCCGCGATAGTCTTCGATCGAATTTCCAAAGCGAATATCCTTCACCGGGACACCGTTCAGCGCATGGATGGTCAGATTTTCACCTTCGATCGATAGAAACGTCTTCTTGCCCGGGATTGGATCATTTTTACGAGAGCCACTCAGAACGTCGACGTCGTTGATAGATTGCACGACTAAATCTTCGATGTTCAAGTTACCAACGATGTTTATGTTCCCAAATACTTCAACGTCGGAGTCGAAATGCAAATTCGTCGAGTTGGAGTCTACGGCTTTGATTAAATTCGCGTCGATTTCATCGATTTTCTTTTTTATATCTTTTAAAGTTTGCGCGTAGGTGTTCACGTCGAAGCTCAGTTCTTCTCTGGTCAGATTGATGGATCCAATCGTGACAGAACGGTAGATAACATTATCGGTTATAGTCGCGTTTGTTACGTTTGCTTCGCTGACGTTCCAAAATCCTGTGATCACAGGATTCTTTAAATAACTTTTATCGACTCGCATTTCCGTTTCGTTAATAATTCTCTCTTGATGGTTCAACGTATCCTAGAATTATAATAACATTAGAATCGTTTAGTATTTTTTTAGACAAAGAACCTACATTTAGCAAACTCTGCAAGCTCAAGAATCTCTCCATGGTATGCTGACTCTGGTGTCTCAAGTTCTTCAAATCGATATGAAACCGTACGAACCGATTGCCCAGGACGAACCCAAATTTTGGAACGACAGTGACCATCGACAGATCGAATTGATCCAGGATACTATTAGGTAATTCTATTCTTTTGAAGCTGGTCCCCTGCCAACCTAAAGCGATCACGGTGAAATTTCGAAACTGAATCAATAATAACGATTCGTCCCTGTACGTATCCAAGCTCACGTCTTTGATCCAAGAAATCTCCGAGACATCTGCGACAAGATCGAAGCAAATACAATGGATAAAGCCAAAATTCGAACTCGTAACTGAATCTTACCGAAGTTAGACTCGGACTCCGTGTTGTATTGGAATTCACCCTCGAAAAAGTGAAACAGACCGGCTTCTGGTCCGGATATCGCCAAGAACTGGATATATCCGCTCTCGAAGCAAACGAAATTCTTCAGATCTTGCGACTTTATCGTCTGAAAGACGCCACCCATCGCAGTGTCCCTGTATTCGTATAGGAAGACGTCGCTGACACCTTGAAGAGCGAGAACGATGCCTTCGTAAATCGTGCACACTTCGATGTCGAACACTCTTGGCGTTGGAATCCTTTGAGAAAGCCTAAATCGGTACGAGAATTATCAAATTTTTCTGTAAAGCCTAGTAGAAAGTTTCTGGAAATAGATAATTACCAGAAGTAGAAGGCATTCGTGGAAAAATCAATACTGAAACCATACACGTCGATGTACGAATATTGCTTCCCGAAACGCATTTCGTTCTCGTCCAGCAATAGCAATTTGTTTCGATTTCCGTGCTGAACGATCTCGATGTCCTTGACGTACTTTTGCACCGGACTCGACCAAAAGAATTGGAATGATTTTCCATCGAGAAGCCTGTACCATTGCAACAGGGTTCCATTTTTCGATTCCACGCACAAAACGGCCACCACGTTAATTTCTGGATTGCCTGTCGATCGAAAGCTGTTCAGGCTGATCACTTTGAACGTCAAAATGGCACCTTGTACATCCAAGATGACGGGGTCGTCGCTCGGGACGTTGTTCGAATCGAGTTTGTGGAACGAAAGTCTTGATTTTTCGGTTCTGGTCAAGTAACCGGTGCCGTTTACCTCCAAGAATTGCCAATTCGTGCCCGTTTCTGGGAGATTCGCGTATTCGTGGACAGAAATGTTGGTCACAACGAGCTCTGAAAGTGGAAATTTATTAATATCTGTGTCCCCGTACGTTTGGAAATTTACTTCGACCGACAATAATTACCTTCTCTGTTTCCTGCGCCTGTGTTGAATTCATAGTCCAGCCAAATTGGCAAAACGTCCTCCGAATCGCGTGAGATTCTTAACGATTTCGTATCGGAGACTTCGCCTAATTTCTCTGCAGCTTCTTCGAGATTCCAAGGCTTTGAAACGCTCGCGCAAACGAAAAAGAACAAGAATATCGAGGAGCTACGAATCGACGAAGACATTTCGGCATCGCGACGAGACTGTGTCTATGGCATTCGCTCGTAGCGTGCAAAATATTTTGGTACAAACATTGAACAGTGGTTCTCAAACTGTGCATGATCGTTTGGATTTTCGCGAGCAGTTTAAAGCAACTCTATTTTGCGGGTAAATATGTTTCGACGAGTTTAGTTTGGTCATTCCGCGGACTTTCTTTTCCGACTGATTTATCAATCGATAGATTTCTTCGCCTCTTACGTACGTGTTAATTGCATACTTTCACACGTATGTAGGTCAGATAATGTTAATTGCCCGTTTCCTCTACAGAAAACGTTTTATTCGTTCAACATATTATACAAAACAATTACAAACAACAAGTATAAATAACTGTGTGATATAAATTATTACGAGTCCCGTGCGACGCGATATTCGACCTGGATCAAATGAGATTAAATATCCATAAGCAATGGAGATATTAAAATAAAATCGAATGCAACGTTCGAATACCTCTAATAATTTTAATAAATTACAGTGTCAGGATTGGCGACAACTAAACGTAAGTATAATTCTAACGAGTCCTCATTATCGTCATAAGAAGTTAGTACTCCCATTGTCAGCTCCCAGACTTAGCAAATACTGTAAGACAGGCATGTCAAACTAAATTTCGCGAACCGATTAACCTTTCTAAGGTACAGTGACCGACAAGAATCTACTCCGGTCGCCGACTTTAGGCTGGAACCTCAAGTTGATCTTATCCTTGTTATCCTCGCCTACTTCGAGGAACGAGTTCCAGTCCACCAGGAAGTAGAGACCGCTCTTCCTTCTCGGAGGCAACTCGACGTCGGGTTCGCGAGTCGTTCCCCCGAAAGACTCCTCCAACGCTATCAAGTTCGAGGCAGCCGTCGAGGAAGCCTCGGTCGTGGACGTCTTCGAGGCGGAATCCGACTGATCTGAATCGTCTCTCGCCGAATCTGTCGTCGTTTCCGCCGATTCTGTCGACAAGTTCCACCACGAATCCCATTTTGAATCTATTTCGAACCTTCCCAAGGCGGGTCGGATGAGAATTATTTCGAGCAATCCAGCTCTCCAGCGATTGGAAAAGATTAGTTACAAAAGAGATCAGATTCGATGCGAGCAAAGGTGAACGGACACACTCGTCCGTTCGGATATCGAATGACGATTCGAGTTACGTAACGTAGCGTATAAAAATGGATATTATACAATGGAACAGGGATACACCGATAGCCAACGAGTAACAGTTTCACTAATGTAAACATAATGCGTTAATGACTTTCTCCGAAGCGTTAGTTACAGGTAGAAACTCTGAGAAGAGCCATGAATAGCGCGTGCTTCTCACGATTAGCGACAGATACAAACAAGGAAGTAGAAAGTAACGGTGCACGGTATCGATATCGATCTAAGCTTTTCATTAATCCATTCCCGACAATCCTTTTCAGGGGAAAACCGAACTTTTCTTTTCGCGCGAAAGTGGGATTCCAAGAGAAACTGGAGGAAAACTTGGAAGAAGAGTTAATATCAGAGGTAGAGCCGCACCTTGGAATTAGATTAGACCCACAGTTTGTTGGCGAAAGTAATTAGATCAGCCAGATTTGCGTCTGATTCTGTTATACGCGTTCGTTAGTAAGTTTCGAAGTAACGTTAGTCCTCGAACGATACTTCGTAGCAAGAGTTCCGAGCCGCCCAAAACGAAAATGAAAAATGTCTTAATACCGGTGGCAGCCATCGAGGAAAAGGTGGTTTGTTCCTCGTCGGTGGGGGCGGTGGTCGTTTCCGTTTCCGGTTCCTGTTGCCTCTTTATCTCGTTCCTGACGTCGTCATTGTAAGTCCTGAGAATTTCCTCGAGCTTCAGAGGATCTGGACCGTCCTTCAACACTTTCGCGGACTCCAGCAAGTCCTTGGCTACCTTCCTAACATTCTGAATATCAGCCTTGCCCTCCTGGACCAGCCTGACCGTGTCCAGGAGCTCGTTGATCTTGCCCCTCTGCTCCTCGTCGTTCACGTTCACCTCGTGTGGCTTGAACACGTGGAACTTGGACGTCTCCGTAGATTCCATATCCTCCTCGATCTTTGGCGTGGTGGACGTCGTTTTACGAGTGCTAGAAACAAGCCCCATGTTCTCCAGAATACCTCTCATACTGCTGGGCACTGCTTCGATCAACGATGGAGCCTCCGTCGTCGACCTCATCGATTTCTGCTTCCTGTTGTCGCTGATCCCTAGCCCGAACTTGGCCAGGAATTCCTTCATGTCTTTGTCCTTGACGCTCGACGTGGGCAGAGGCTTGAAGTTCGTGTAGGAGTTCAAATTGATGGTCGTCCTCTGCGTGGTCGTGGTGGATCGTTCGAGGTTCGACGCCTGGAGGCCAAACCTCTGGAACAGCAGCTGCACTTCCGGCGCCAGATTGTCCACGCCTTTCCTGATCTCCGATCCCGGGCTCTCGAAGGTGTTCTGCTTGAGGATCGAAGCGGAATCCGCTCCGACCGCGGTCAGACCCGAAACCGTAGCTCGAACCACGCTGTTTGTGTCGGGGATTTGAAATTTGCTCTCCTGGATAGCTTTGTTCTTCTTGTAGACGTCCTCCACGTTACTGTTGTTGTCCGGTTTCAGGCCGATCGAAGCTAACAGATCCATGACTTCTTGCCTCATGGGCGTCGAGGCGGTGGTGGTCGCGGCCGTGCGGAATCCTCCGGAGTTTATCGAGTAAGTCGAGCTGTACTTGACTTTCGATGACGTCGCCGTAGACATGGGCGTCACGTACAAAGAGGTCGGTCGTACGGTGCTCATGATCAAAGGTTCCGCGATCTTCGAGTCTTTATCGGGTGTCTCTGGCCTCTCCGACGAGGGCATGGACGCGCGATCCTCCGATTCCGCGTTAACGGTCGGCAGAAACGGCACCTTGTCGAACTTGGTGGCCATGGTCGGCTTGAAAGCGGTGCTCGGAGGCGCATTGTAACGCCACTGATTGGACGACAGCACGTTCTGACTGGTCTTCGGCCTCCCCAAGTCGATAGCGATCTCTCCGGACGTGGTTTTCGTTGTAGGCAGCTCGGTGACGCTGGTGCTGTAAACGATCTCCAATTCCGACTGCTTGTTCCCGTTATTCCTGTAAACTGGATACCTGGTCGTGGTCGTTTCATCGATCGCGTACGAGTTCCTCTGCAGGTTCTCCAGGTTGAAGGTAAACCTGACCGGCGCGGATTCCAGTTTCAGCGTCTCCTTTAAAGGCGCCTTCGTGCGCACCTCCGAGTACGTCTCCCGGTGATTTTTATACTTGTTCTTCATCGTGGTGGTGGATTGAGGGTCTCTCGTCTTGTAGGACACGCTGGTGGATATCAGATTCTCGACAGGCGAAGGCACGGAGGCGTCCCTCTCGGATTTATCGTCCTCAGGCTTTGCGTCTGGGATCATTTGAGTCATCGGTGGCTTCGTGTATAGATCCTTCAAGCTTCCGGGTGATTCTTCCGCGTTGTAGGGGAGAACGACCATCAGGGCTCTCTGGTACAATTTTCTAGCTTTCTCTATCTTCTCTTTGTCCATGAACGACATCAAATCCTGCGCTGTGATGTTTTGTAGAATTTTGACTATTTCTGGACGCGTCAGCCGGGGGAGGCTGGCGTCCTCGCGGAGCTGTCGCTCGACTTCTTCGATCGTACGGTTGATCGAGCTCTCGATCTCGAATCTCGACGGAAGATCATTGTCCTGGCAGTGACCTAGGCTGAGGACCAGCAGCAAGAAGAAAACCGCGAGCTGCACAGATAATTGCGTCAATTGAGTCCCTGACAATTCTAGTCGGAGACTCGATTTGCTGGTTAATTCTACACCGAAGTCTTCCGATTCTATTGTTTAACCCTCCCTATTTATCATTAAAATTACCACAAAGGAATTGCAACACGTAACAAGTCTGAAATACTTTGCAGCCCAAAGGCAACTTCGTATGTTTATTTCCAACTAGGACTGTCCTACATTTGCAAAAGTTTACGTAATTCGTTCTTCACCTATCGCCTTTCGATAAAAAATGAAATCGCTGCTAGAACATCGCTCTCTCGTCCTATCGTATTCGATCTTTCGCAATTTTTCCCCTCCCTCGAGAGGAAAAAGCGTTTCGCAAAAAAAGACGCTTCTGCGAAGTATCGATCGATTTAGGACAGAACGAAGCGCGATTTTTACGTAAGACGGACAGCTTAATGCGCGTGGCACACATTTATCGCTCGAAACATCTAGAAATGCTCGCAATCAACTCTTGGTCTCTTTCATATTCATGAAGCAGCTCTCGCGAAATATCCTTGACTGAAATTACCGATCGAGAAAGCCCAGAGCTAATTTTTATTTACTCAATGTTCCTGTTTTTCTCGTATATCGTTAAACTGTGTCGTGGAGCCGGAGGCAATGCCCTTTCGTGGATTCCGTATTTAGTGATCAGAAATGAATACGCTGATTTTAGGGATAGTGATTTAGAGACCATTCCCCTCTGGCCTAAAATTTTTTAAACGATTATATCACTGTTTTCTGGAACCTCGTATCGCTCAAACTAACGCCTAATAGAATTGCTAACCCGTACATGCATTTTTATGACCGGAAATATGGATTTCTCTCATACCGTGAACACGGTTTAGAAACAGAGACGGCTTTACGCGAAACTGCACGGCATTTGGGTTACCCTTGTTACGAGCTCTTCAAAAAGAAAGTAAAAAAGGAAAATGTTTCGAATTATATGTGAGCGTAGCTTTCTACACAAATTGACGAAGTGGGGGCATAATATACATATTTTTATTGTCTAAGGTATATACAGAGTTGTATTTTATTTTTTAATGTGAGTTAGGAGCCTGTAGAATCGGTGTAACGTCAACTCTAGCGCCGCCCCTCTCCAGGGACCAATCTTTACAGCTTGTTGCAGTAGCTGCCGCGAAATACACCGCTGTTCGAATTCAATTCTGAATCGACAAGTTAATTTTCGATGATGATAGCGTTCTCGTTGAAAACTGTTTAATACAAACGGATAATATACAATCGCGTGATGCGATAACTGTAAGATTTCCTGTCTGGTCCGTTTCACCGGCGCGAAATAATTATTGAAGGAAATTACTGCAATCGAGACAGCATTTTGTAACGAGCGTTCTACCGTACTCTTTATCTACGTGACCCCCATTTGCCTCGACCATCCATCGAAAGCCTCGATGTAATAACCGATTCTGTAACGCATATCTCGAAAGTCGACGCAACGTTTCTATTTTTTATACTTGTCCCTGTTGCCCGTCGCTTTCGGGCCAATTCCAGCCGACTTTCTAGACAATTTAGCTAAAATTTTATGCCTCTCCTTTGCTGAAACGTCTACTATTTTACGGCTGACTAAAAACGAGATTGGACGAAGTGACACGAAAGCGATTCTCTGACTCGTTCTCGTCGATGATGTTTTATTAGGTGAAAACAGGAACGAAGTTTCGTCTTTAAACATGAACGCGAATGATTCGCAATAACGATCCTGGAAATCGAAAGTCACTTTCGTCTTCGACGATCCTTCTCACGCGTTACCCAGTGATTCTAACAAGTTTCAAATGTATTCAGTTATTCAACAAAACAATACCCAGAATGTTCCCTGGCCGTTCGAAGCTACGATTGCCCAAACAATGTGTCGATCATTGGGACGTTTACCCTATCACCGTAAATTGTAATTTCCTTTCAACGACAAAGAAATACACAAATGTCGTCGACCTGGTGCGATTAAAAAACACTTGTCGAGCCTCAAACGACTCATTTTCTTTCGGTGTCCACGAAGACAAGCAACTCACAACTGGTTATTCACCAGGGACAAGAAGCGACTTTCTTATTTCGACGCGAACGAATTCACTGATTTCTGTCACACGACACCCAACGATCCACGCGCGAGTTCAATTCGCGAGTTTAATATCGTCGATATCGTTCGGTGGGTTTGTCGAACGTCCGGTTCGAGGAGGAACGAAAGAAATAGATTCGGTAACGGTGACACGTCCGAGCCACCGGGAAACTTACCATTACGGCAACCGATCGTCTGCGAACACAGTTGACTACTGACTGAACGACGAAGGCCTACTTTCGAACTCTCTCTCTATCTTACCCGCTTATTTCGCCTCGGCTGTCCTCGTGCACGCTGCTCGGTTCATCTGTTCACCCCCACGGGCTCGAGACACTCGGAGGAACGCGTCGTCCCTACTCCCCTTGCTTTTCGGCACCGTATCCAGCATCCGATGATGCCAGCGCGCTTTCATCCGTGCCGCCAATACGAAATGGAAAGGCCATTTTTCAAGTTCAAGGAGAAAGAAAGTCCGTGACGTGGAAACCGGTCCCCCCTGCTCGCGATCGAGCACCGTTTCTAATCGATTTTCGCGCCCATTGTTATGGATTCTTAAGGAACCTTTCACATCGCGGGGTTTATGATACGGACGTGACTTCTCCGCTATTTTTTAGGACTAGGCCTTCGAGATATGTTACTTGGCAAATTACATTACGGGCATTAAGGAAACTCCAAACTCCACACAGGACTTGGAATCCTTGGAGCTCTTCCTTGTCTCAATTTGACGTATCGTAAACCCGCGGGAGCGCATGACTGTAGACTACTGGGATCTTGGGGGCTTTGGCTTTCCCCAAATGTTTATAAAAAAGGCAACGTTCTCGCTCACTCTTGCATGGTGTACCTGGACACTGGACAGCAGGGTGGGCGGGAATGTTGGAAAAAGCGGGAAATGCCCTGCCAAGGTGACGACTTTGAGGATTGGCTTGACCAATCCTCCCAGGGTTAGCGCTGCGCGTTTTTCGTCACCTTGGTAGGAGAAGCCGAGCTTAGATCAAGGGTAGCACTAAGTTTTCGGTTTAGATTCGTTTGATCGAGCCTTACAACCTCGAGTCGACTCTACGCAAGGGTAGAAATACTCTTGTGCAACTAACAGGAAGAGCAACGGGCTCTCAATCAGAAGCAACGGGCTTCACTTATCAGTATTTTCCCAAACACTAGTTTGGGTGGTCCTTCGGGCATAAGAGAAGGGAACACAGTAAGGAGCTGTGTGATACGGTCCGCGCAGTACATAACACGTGGGCATAGTGCTTCGGGGCCGAAACACCCATTATTGCTCCCCTCCGAGGAAAATCATTTGGAATAGTTCGTTTCTTTCAACACTAGATGGCGCTCATTTTCCGACCTTGTGGCCAACGTCCGTAGCTTTGGCGCTGCACACGATGCCGTTGTTCTTCTTTAAAACAGTCGAGTCAATCATCTAAAAAACAATTGAGTACTGCCTTCCGTTATTAGCTCTCGACCCGCGCACACGTGTTTGTAGACAAAGTTCGCTGTTATTGTTAATTGTTGATTGTTACTGTTAATTCTTGTTGAAAATAAATATTGTGAAAACCACATCCGCTGTAAGAGCTATAACCTCAAACTCCCTGGTGCTAAAACGCCCAAGTTTGTCGTGGAATAGTTCAAATCGTCCACGCTAGATGGATTTCTCCATCTGTGGGGACTTATGATCTCGTCCGCACAAGAGTATAGGGGAGCAGTTTCCCGTCAAGTGCGAATCCGCCGTAAGGCTGCGCGCGCAGCGCAGCAGGGCGAAAGCGCGTCCTCCCAAAAATGCAAGGACGCTCAAACCACTGCTTGGTAAGAACTTCGCGAAGAAGCACCTCAAAAAGATAAAGAGTAAAATTCCTGTTGCTAGACAAAGACTTGTACGCCTAACGTTAATAAAGAATACTCGTTATTGTTGTTGTTGTTACATACACGTGTTCAGTTATTTCGAATATTAATATCCGTGGTCGTAGGGGTGGGCCTACGAACGCACGCGCATAATACGTGGAAACGAACCACGTGCATCAAGTAAGCATAAACCCACAAGGTCGGAAAATGAGTGCCATCTAGCGTTGAGAATAACGAACTATTCGTTAAATTATACTAAATTAGGTAGAGTAGTGCCCAATTAAGTGCTCGCGCTCGGAATAGGGGGCAAAGTAAACGGACAATTACGTGGGCTTAAATGCAGTCACTAATGTGGACACTACTGCAGTTATTATAATAGTAAGAAGCTTTAGATCCTGTTTATTAATTAAATTAACGTACATAGAGTCTCAAATTTATGTGTATTATGCTTGAAACCGTGTATTTGCTCAAAGAAACGTCAAAAATAGGAATACGTGTTGCAGTGTCAAAGAGGGAGTTTGGCAGGGTTTTCTGACAAGAATAAAACTGTTTCTAGACAAGTTAGGACCTTTGGCGTTAATTGTGAAGCATTTCTAAGTAATCTAAATTGCTGTGCACCCTATTGTTATATTAATAAATAAATTAGAATTAGTTTTCGATCGTAAATAATTGGAGTACCATCTAGTGTGTAAAAAGTGAATTATTTCTCGACAAACTTGGGCGTTTTAGTACCAGAGGGTTTGAGGTTATGGCGACAGGTGCGTTTTCTGTCGCGAGGTTGAGCTCTACTTTACCGATTAAAGGGTTGAAGTTAGGGCACAGACGAGATATATGAATAGACGTCTCACGTAATGTAATTTTTCGGCCGGAGTTTCTGGGGTCCCGGGACCCCATTACCATTTTCGTGTCACTCGCTACGTTATCAACAGATTCAGAAATTAACACAAGAGGAAGTGAGACAGAAAATAAAATTACATAAATTTTATTATTTTTTAACGGAATTAAAGCTGTAGGGTCCATCATTGGACATTAATCGATTAATTTCATTGGAGAAATCAATCGATTAAGAGTATTTAAAAATTTCAAGATTATTAAAATTCCTAAGGATGTATTTCATTGATACGTACACCGCAAATTCTCTATTTTTTATTTTAAATTGTAATACATCATTTATTAAAAAAATAACTCGGCAGAAACGTATTTGCGACTCGAAATCAGTTTAATCAGACTGTGCATCGGGGCCCCGGAAACTCCTCATTCCTCGCTTTCGCACACTATGCTCAATTGCGTGTACGTGAGCTCGTTGAGTTTCGGAAGAGCCGAGAAGAACAGGCTGATACTCGCTTTCCTTCTCGCTCTTGCATCGCTGACGTCGCTTACATTTCTCGAAAGCAAGCCTGCTGGCATCGCCACCCGTTCGAATCGTCAGTAAACGACAAAAGCCATCGTGACAGACAGACCTTACATTTTACATTTCTCGAAATCGGACCTGGGCGCTTTTTGAAGATTCATTGACTTTCCATACGAAGCGACCATGCGTTATACATATACATATACATGTTATACATGCTAGGAACTATAAATTGTATAACTTTCGTTGTATATCTACTTTCTAATAACATGGGAAAATTTTAAAATATAAAAAAATGTAAGAATACTGTAGAATTTTTGCAATGGAGAATTATTGAAAGAAAATGAGGTAATTATTTAGAAAAGGCCGGGTCTCACCGATTTCGATGATTTTTGAATATGTTGTAGAAATCAACATTTTGAGCAACTTTTTCCTATACATATAACCGCCGCTCGGCCTTAGTTTCCGAGATTTTTCTTCAAAAAGATCGCTACTACTACAATGAATTCTGTCTATATGTACATATCTGTGGCTCTGCATTGCATCAGTCCACGATCGTTGCTTTTTTCTCTTGTTTGTATTAGTCGGCATGACAACCGACGACAAATAATGTATAATGTGTCGAGCTAAATCTAGTTCTGCATTGTTGTCAAAGGTTCGAATATTCTGAAGTATGGAACTCGCCAAATACATTATGTAGGCTATTTAGGTGAATTCTTCTTCCGTCGACAATATCATGCTAATGATCTAATAATTAAATTTGTCGAAATAATGGCTGAAATCTTTCCCACTTCTGATAATATCAATAAAGAAAATTGAAATAGAAAATGAATGCGTGGCCGCCGTTAGGCGGCCGGCTACACAAATCGAGTTTTTAAGCACAGCTGTTATACGCATTCATTGCCGGCCGCCTCGATGTATCTATAGAAACAATAAACAATCGACGAGTCGTATACATACTGCAGATTTTTTGTCAACAATCGGCGAGTCGTATATATATAACAGGCACGTAAGTGTAGATAGAATTCATTGTAGTAACAGCGATATTTGTGATATTATATGGTACAACTTTGGAACCAAGTAAGGCATTGTGTTGAAATTTGGTTTATATGTATTTATGGACATTGAAGAACACATATTTACAATACAAAATAAAAATTTATTTCTCATAATTTTCTATGGTATGGTAAATTCTGAAACAATTCCCAATATACATAGCAGGTTGATTTATACATGTTTCACAATAAAATGTTGTTTGACGTCTTTCTCCTGGTGTTTTCCTGTCGGAACAAATAATGCAGTCCCGGTTTCTTTGGCCTACATTTGGAATATGTAGCTTATTATTCATTCTATTGTCCGACAAAGAACGTTAATTTATTTAGATTATAACGAAGATAGCAATAGGAATGGTTCGACTTTGAATGAAGTTTCGATTTTACGTTTATAGTTTTTTACGTTTACGTTTTATGTTCTTTATGTTAAATAATTTTAGTAAACATTAAATAATATAGTTTATATAGTTACGTTTATTGTCCACGTGTTTGAATCCGACCATACGCCTCTGACCATCATCGACAATCCTTCCACTCCCAACGTAAAAACGGCTGATATATTTCTCATTTTAATAGAATATTTCCCATTTTAATAGGAAAGTACAGGAAAACATGTGTTTCTTAAAAAATTGCGGTGAAATCAGTTCATTCTCCTTAATCACTAATAAACTTTCATGTCCCCTCAGAGGGGACGACCGAGTGCAAAGGGTTAAAATATGTTCATAAAATATTATCGTTTTAAAACGTGTATTTCCGTAAAAACAAATTTTTGTAATTTTTTCTTCATTATGGTATATTGCTTATACATTGTACATATATGCCTACACAGGTCGGAAAGTCAAAAATGCCTAGGCAGTCGAGAATCTCGGCTCGAGAATATGCGAGATCGAATTTCAGCTGTGTTGAGAGCAAGAAGGATAGACTGACATTCGCCGCCTTTCTCGAATCTACGAAGCTATACGAAACGCCAGAACTCATATACAAGGTGGTTGGCATTAGTGTGTGTGAGTGGTGGGGCAGTTCCCTTTGGGCACGGGTCTGCCGTCTGATAATACTCCACTGGTCTTTTCCAATCCCTCCCATAATCAACTCACATGTATTTACGTACCCACTCAGCTGGCTGCCCATCAATACTAATTCAGTGCCTAGTTTCTCAACTAACCGCCATCCATGAGAAGAGGCCGCTAAAATCAGCTACGAATTTTCAGGTCGGTATGGCAGTCAGATTCGGCCGCGAAAGTCCATAAGGTGAAACGTCTATTCATATATCTCGTCTGTGGTTAGGGTTGTTATAAGAAAAAGTTAATGTTAATGTTTTGAAATTAGGGTTGTTATAAGAAAAAGTTAATGTTAATGTTTTTTGTTTTTGATCGCTAGGAGACGGCTAGTAGTTTGTTTAAACAGTTATAAGAATAAACTCAGAGTTCTCCAGATATTCAAAAGAGTCATACATATGTTCTAATTTATTACGGCTACAAGGTCGGAAAATAAACGCCATCTAGCGTTGAAGGTAACAAACTATTCCACGACAAACTTGGGCGTTTTTGCACCAGGGGGTTTGAGGTCGAAATAAGCGCCATCTACCGTTGGAAATAATGAACTATTCCATGACAAACTCGGGCGTAGATGTCGTCTTGATATATATAGATATACAGCGAATTAGGTAGAGTAGTGCCCATTTAACTGTCCGCGATCGGGGATAACGGGTATTGATGGGGCTACCCTCCATTAATAAAGATATTCTGTGACCAACGATCGTTGGCCACCGATAAAAATAAAAATAACCTGCCTAACTATAAATCTAAATTAGTTTATTATATCAAAAAACAATTCTAAATTCGCAGCCATTAGCTCGGTGTCGGCCACGAAGAATAACTTTTCTATCGTTGGTGACACCGATTACCAGGTCTCACCACGAGGAGGTTGCTGCAAGTGGAGACCCAAGAAGAGACAGATGGAATCAAAGTTCCATCGATCTCCCTTTTACATTGTTAGAAACTAGATTACTAAACTAGAGAGATAGAAGGAAGCAATGTTTCGTCGATCTTCTAGTTTAGTTGTACCAAGTAATTATTTCGACAGCAATAGAAACTATTTCTTGGCAAACTTGGGCATTTTGCCGTTGAGGCCGAAGATTTTACAAGCTTCTAATACTCATTTACCAAACTAATAATAATT